CCTGCTTTGGGGATTAGGACATTATAAGGCAAATTAAGATGCAGTGCGCTCAAGTAGCTGAAACACAATTTTAGACTTAAAAGTAGTTTTAAATGAGGGTACTTGGCTGGCAATCGCTGTTTAAGTGGATTTAGTTCAATATCAATTAGTCTGGAAAACTTCTTGGTATCTTTGTAGAGAGCAAAGTGCAATAGAGAGCGGCAGAAAACACCACATGCTCTGAAGATACGGGTTGCAGAATGTGGCTTTCAGTAGTTAACTGAAAACAGCTAGCCTAGAGCACTATTAAGGGAAGCTCCTTATTGTATTTTTGACGTACTAGACAGCAGTGGAGCTGGGATGTTGCTTAAATATCATATGACAGTTTTATCCTGGAGTCAGAGAAGTAAGGTCTTTCAAGGAGTGAGATGCTGCTGCTGCTGCTGCTGCTGTTGCTGCAGCTGTGGGTTGCACTGTGTGTTGAGTTTGTTTGTTTTGTTTCCCCTGCCATTGTTTGTGCTTTGTAAGCTATTGAGTCCAGAAAACTCAGACTTCATTAGAAGCCGTCTTTGTGCCATTGAGTGGTCAGAATCACATCAGGGCTCAGCTCCCCTCCCGTATCCTCCAATGAGCCTGTCCCCTGAGCAGCCCACGACGTGAGAAGTGGCCAGGAAGATTTCTGCTTTATATGTGGATATCAGGTGCCTTGAGGACCTAAAGGCCTGGGACAGGAGCAACTCACAATTAAAACAGGCTCTCCCGGACTCCGGTGTCATTTCTGTTGCTGCAAATGATCAGTGGTGGGAGACAAGATTAGATGATTCTTTTTAGAATTTCTGTGAATATCGGCAGTTCCATTTAAAATGGAAACCGAGTCATTTAACCCTCTACAAATATCCATCATTTTAGATGAGGAGATTAAATTGTCCTCTGGAAATGCCACTTGGAGAACAACCTAATGAAGCAAAGATTTTGAATAGCCTCTTTTCCTCCAACCACCAAACATCTAAATTCATTTAAAACTCATCAGGTTTCAACAATATGAAATCCTAAATCCTGGCCCTCCTAAAGACCTTCTCTTCTTTTTCCCGGTCTTTGTCCCCCCCCCCCCCCCCCCCCCCCCC